GTGTCTCTCTTGGTCTCTCTCCCTCCTGCCTTCCTAGACATCCATCCATGGGAAATCAATCAAGGCCTCACCCCATGAGAGCAGCCAGTCTGGCAGGAGGCAGGCACATGGCTGCCCCACCCAGCGCCCCGAGGAAACTCTGCGCTGGACGCTTCAGGGAGCCCCTGGCTTTGAGAAGACACCAGCGCTGCCTCTGATACAAATGCCACCATCAAGGGCCCTTTTCTGCTGATTTACAACAACTGAAGGTAATATTAACAAGTGTTCTATTTCCAGGAAAAAGTTACTGCTGTTTTTGAATTTATTTAAAGCCTATATTTGAAGTCTGTTCTAGAGCTACAAAAAGGTCAGGTGGTTATCAGGGTGGGCCCTCCTTACTTTCTCCATTTCAGGGTCACTCTGTCCCCTCACACACACCCACCACCCTCTGCCAAGCACCCTCTAGGGCCTGTTCTTCTTTCCTATCCATCCCCCTAGGATTACGATCAAGTCGACTTGGATTAAGGGACACTGCACAAATGCATTTGTTTATTGTCCAACCAAATTTAAACCAGTTTTGGGTTTTTTTTTGTTTGTTTCTGTTGCACCTCAAGATGCCTCAAAGCATTTGACACCCTAAAATTTCTCATGACTTTCTGAGAAACAGATTTAATACGCTGTCTCTGACACTTTCTTACCCAGAACCCTTTGCTCTCTGAGCCCTGCAGATGTCTTCTGGAAATCTGTTCCCCGAGCACATTACGGGAAGTGGACTAAAGCAGAGATAACAAAAAAGGATGTGTAAGGAGAAAGCACTCCAGTCTTCTTCTGTGTCCCATCACTAGCCTGACTTGAAAAGGTCTAAAAACGTTCTGAACAATGACAACGTAACTGCATTCCAGCTGGAACAAGTACACAGCCTTTTAGAATGACTACTAAAGGGAGCTCTTTGGGGGTGGACAAACGAGGATGTGTTTGCTAAAACCTGGAGGCATTTCTTTTATGCCCCTGTCTTTTATGTGTTTGTCTGTGTCCCTGCATATGTGTCATGCGACTTATAGCCTAGAACAGGACCCTGAGGACAAAACAGTTTTATGGGAATGAGTTTTTTAAGAATACAGAGTGACTACCTGGGTGGCTAGAGAGAGAGCGTTTCCTTCCCAATGAGAACCAGTGCTTCTGTTAGGTCTTGTTCGCTGTGAAAGGCAGAAAAAGGCCCCCGAAGGGTCTATTTCTAATCTCCAGTACCTGTGAACATGTTGTCAGTTGCTCAGACATGTCCAACTCTCTGTGACCCCCAAGGACTATGACCCGCCAGCGTCCCCTGTCCATGGGATTTCCCAGGCAAGAACACTGGAGTGGGCTGCCATTCTGTCTACAGGGGATCTTCCCATACTACTTTATGTGGCAAAAAAATTATGAAGTGTGATGTAGTAACCTTGAAGTAATCTGGGGAGATTACTAAGCATTACCTGGGAGGCCCAAACAGAATCACACAGGTCACTCAAAGCGAAGAAGACTCCCGGACTGTGTTCATAGGGAGATATGGTCATGGGTTAACAGAGAGATGACATCGCTGACTTCAAAGTGGGCCACAAACCAAGGACAGTGGGAAGTCTTTAGAAGCTACGAAAGGCAAGGAAATAGATCCTCCCCTAGAACCTCCAGACAGGAAATGCTGGCACCTTGATTTTAAAACCCACTGAGACGACGTCAGGCTTCTGACCTACAGAACTGTAAGACAGATTTCTGTTGTTTTGAGGTTGTGGTAATTGGTATAGCAGGAGGCAGAAATCTAATTCATCAACTTCTACCCTCACCCTCCAGATTTCACTGTTCCATGAATTCTTAGCCCATCTGCAATGTACATACATGGACATGTCTCCATTGTTTCAGTTTATGGATACAGGTTTGGTACCTCACAGATCATATAGGAAGGATAATACCTGCACCCAGAGGAATAACTTGCAGGTGGCAGAAGATGCCAAGTGTGGCTTTCGAGGCTGTAGTGCAACCACCTTATATGATGGACGAGGAGACAGGCCCGCATAAGCTCATCTGGTTCTCCCCCATCCTACCCCTGCCTCTCCCTCCATCCAACCTGAGAGATCAGAAGCACAAAAATGGGAGGTATCGGGTTGCCCAAAGAGCTGATTCATGTTTTTCCATAAGATGTTATGGGAAAAGAGTTCCATTAATAAGTATTCAGTTCAGTTCAGTTGCTCAATTGTGTCTGACTTTTGTGACCCCATGGACTGCAGCATGCCAGGCCTCCCTGTCCATTACCAACTCCCGGAGTTTACCCAAACTCATGTCCATCGACTTGATGATGTCATCCAATCATCTCATCTTCTCTTGTCCCCTTCTCCTCCTGCATTCAATCTTTCCCAGCACCAAGGTCTTTTGAAATGAGTGAGCTCTTCACATCAGGCGGCCAAAGTATTGGAGTTTCAGTTTCAACGTCAGTTCTTCCAGTAAACACTAAGGACTGATTTCCTTTAGGATGGACTGGTTTGATCTTCTTGCAGTCCAGGGGACTTTCAAGAGTCTTCTCCAACATGACAGTTCAAAAACATCGACTCTTTGGCTCTCAGCTTTCTTTATATTCCAACTCTCACATCCATACATGACTACTGGAAAAGCCATAGCTTTGACTAGACGGACCTTTGTTGCCAAAGTAATTACTCTGCTTTTTAATATGCTGTCTGGGTTGATCATAGCTTTTCTTCCAAGGAGCAAGCGTCTTTTAATTTCATGGCTGAAGTCACCATCTGCAGTGATTTTGGAGCCCCGAAAAATAAAGTCAGCCACTGTTTCCACTGTTTCCCCATCTATTTGCCATGAAGTGATGGGACCAGATGCCATGATCTTAGTTTTCTGAATGTTGAGCTTTAAGCCAACTTTTTCACTCTCCTCTTTCA